GAACCAGAAGCCCACATGACAGTCACAGATCCACTGGACACAAGCACATGTACATACACCCACGCGTACATTTTGACACACAAACATTCACACAGGCACACAGATGTAAGGTGCGTGCCTATTTACACACGAGAACATGCCCATGAGTTGCAAGGACACACATGCTTATTACATGCTTGCAGACATGCTTGCATGTGTGTGTGCACACACATTCTGTCCCTTCCCGCCCTTGTTCCATGCTCAGTCCGATTCCCTGCTGCAGCTCTCTTGTAGATGACCCTTTGCAAGGTGGGCATCAAAGGAGGGCCACATGTATAGGGGACTCCATGAGTAGATAGCTGTGTGTATCTACGTGTGCAAATTTGTACACGTGTCACTGTGTGTCTTGTAGTCTATGTGGCTCTAGCTCTGTGCAAAACACGCAAGTGTCCCTTTGCGGGTATTTTTCTGGATCTCTGCGTATTTCTGGCAGAACTTATGTGTACCTCTGTGTACACATTTTTGTGAGTGTGGATGACAGTAGGGGACTTGTGTATCATGTGCCTGCATCTTGTGGACCATCTCTCCACAGATGTATATCTGTATATGTCCGTGTGCGTGTTTGCATATATGTGCATTTCTCGTGTGTATATGGCTCTGGGGTCTGGAGTTCACAGGCTGGCTGGGCTGGCTCCCCTCCCTTCCGAAGCTGTGGCCTGGGGTGGGGCTGGGCAGGACTGCTCTGAATCCCTCAGCCATTGACAGTCGTATTTACAGAGCTCCGAGTAGGACGTAATTGGTTCTATTAATCTTTCTCTGGTTGTTAATTGCTCACTTATCGGGTTGTGTATTATGCCGACTGTTGCTCTTAATTCGCCTCCGTAGCTGCAGGTGTTTACTGCCTTATTAACAGTTAATCGGCACGGCTAGGGATGGAGACTTAATTGGCCCCCAGAGTGGGACACAAGCGGGCCAGCCGGGCACTGCCAGGCTCTTAGCCCGTCCCTGGAACCCTTACCTGTGGAGCGCAGGTGGCTACAAGGGAAGGAGTTGGCCCGCTGCCATCCGCAGGCAGACAGCAGTCTTGTATACAGTGGTCAGAGTGACAACTGTAGGGTATTAGCCCCCATGTAATCCTAACTCCTCCAGGAAGCCAAACAACCAATCAGAATCCAGCTCCTACACTCCCTCTCCAACACCAACAAACTTCATCTACCCAGGAGAGGAGCCAGCCTCATTTATCTTAATTATCCGAACCTAACTGAGAACTAAGAGACCAACACAGAGTGGAACTGGTTCTCCTCCTTTAACACCTCCTCTGCCTCCCCTCTGACCCTGGCAGTCAAGGCTGTTAAGGTCACAGAGACTCTGGGAGAAAGGAAGGCAAGAAGGCCAGAGGAGGAAAGGCTGAATATAGACCCGGGGAGGGCTTTCCAGCTTTCGAAGAGGCTATACAGAGCAACTAGTGTCCAAACGAGAACAAGAAATTCCAGAAGGAGATCTGCTGCTCCCTCCCAGCCATGCTCTCAGTCCTGCTCAGCCCCTGCTTTCAAAGCCCCAACAACAAGGAACTCACTACCTCCATGGCACGACTACACAACTACAGCAGTGAGGGTTCTTCACCCTGAACTGACCTCTGCCTTTTTTTTTTTTTTGCCCCATGTCTCAGCAGAGGAGTCCCAATTGTCCACAGTGGGGACCCTGAGCCCCAGAAAGGGCAAGGGAGTGGCTCCAGGGTTTCCCAGTCCTCCCTTGTAAAGGCTCAGATGTTTGACTCTCCAAAGTTTCTGCCGTCAGCCTCTGGCCAGACCCTGATCCACCCTAGACATCTCAGTCCTGTAAGGGACCTTCTTGGTCACCACCTCCCTAGCTCCGGTTTTTAAGCCTCTCAAACTCAGCTGCCACTGCTGCAGAGGTCCTGGGCTCCAGCACCTTTGAGACAGAAATGCAAGGTGTCTGGAAACAACTGGTCCCTGAGAGGGAAAGGCGTGTAAGGATGTGCATGAGTGTGTGGTGTTGGTGATGGGTGGGGGATAGGGGTCCCATGCTTCACTAACCTGGCCTCCAGCCTCCAAGGACAAACAGGCAAACCAGTAGTCCTCATCCTTTGCCTCGAATCCTGACATCTGGAAGTTCTTCCTGGTGTTTAGTTGTCAAGTCTTGAGCTGCAGAGGATGTTGATTTGCTTTGGTTGGGTCCTGAGAGGAGCTGGGCTCTATGGAAGGAGGGTGGAAACTACCATTAAGGGCTGCTGTGTGCCAGAAGCAGCATAAGTGTATGTGAAAAGTGACATCTCATTGAAGAATCACATCACCTGATAAATTAGGGATTAAGATCCTATTTACAAAGAAAGAAACTGAGCCATAGAGAGGGGAACTAAACTTGCCCAAGGCCACACAGGCAGGAAAGGGCAGACTGGGATTCCAACCAGGGCCTGGCATTGCCTGGGGGTGCTGGTAAAGGTCTTTGGTCAAGAGTACCTGGATGAATTCATACTAATGGTTCGGTAAGGTGACCGGGGGCCAGAACCAGGAGTCAGCATTACAGTTCACCCACCCACCCGGATTCTGGGAACATTAACAAGAAAAACACTCCCGCATGCGCTGCCCACGTGCCCTTCAGGCGGGATGAGAGAGGAAGCAAAGGGAACTGTCCAGGGATAGTTGCCCAAACAAGTTCCGGCCCCGCCTCTATGTTAATGACATGCAGATATATGTAAATTTGTAGACGCTACCGCTCAAACCTTTGGAAGAAATGGGATGACACAGGAGCAGTTGCTATGGAAACCCAAATGCGACCCCCCTCTCCCCCCAACCGCACAAGCGAGCGTACAGACACGTGCACAAAGACCCAGGGTTCCTCGCTCCATAGCCCAGAGGATCACGGAGTCTCGGAGGGTGTGAACCGGAAGGACCCTCAGAAACTGCGTCCAGCCTGAGGGAAGCTGAGACCCGGAGAAAGTCGCGAGAGAGCAGCTTCGTGGGGCGCCCTCCACTGAAGCCGAGGGGAGCTGGGTGGCCATTCCGGTCCCTGAGGACTCCTACTCGGGCCTAGCAACGTGAGCCCCGCCCAGCGTTGCTCAGCAACGTCCCTTGAGCCCAGCAACCGCCGACCACGCCCCCTAGCAACAGCTAGCCTAATCCTTGCTCCTCTCCGCCTCGGCCAAAAGAAAGGCGAGGGAAGGGGCTTGTGGACTAGGGCCAAAACGTGGGTGGAGGTCGTGTTGTCCGGTCCCCGGCCTCAAAGCAGCCTGCAGGATTTCGCTGTCCACCTCTAGCCCTCTTCGCTGGGTGAGGTGCTATAGGGCCGCGTCACCATGCCCATTTGCAGGGGGCGAAACTGACTCTCCGAAAGGAAGTTCCAGCCGACAGTCCAGAGGTTATTCTTCCCTGAGTGACCTGAGAAGGCAGCAAATGCTCTCCTGTCCCCCTGGAAGGAAGCCGTGGGCCTGGGGGGAAGGAGTTCACAGCCATCTTCCCCTTGACCTGCCCCAACTGTGTTAGGAAAATGACCCAAGTTCCCGACTCAGAATCAAGCTGCAGGTTGCATAGTAATTTGTGTCATTTACATATAGCCCGGAGGCTGTGGCGCTCACAAGCCCTTCGGAGCCCGTAAAGTTACCGAAGGAGCCCCGCCCCCTCCCCCGGTTCACAAG